AAAATTGGCTCGTTTTTCTCTGATCTCTTTTCACAAAAGGTGTCTTACTTGTTTTCAAGACATGCATAAACAGAAACGCTTTTGCGCCCCTATGTTTTTGAATTTGTTGTAGATGCTGTAAACATCCGACTCTTCTTGCATAACTCTAAACAAGGAAATCACCCTATGAGCAAAGAAATGACGCCTATTACTTGAAAATATGAGCAGCTTAAAATAAAGTTGCAGATGGCTCTGTGTCGAAAATGAATGCAATGTTTGTGATCAGATCCAAAAATCTAGTACAGAAGGATTCGCTCGCCTCATTTACTGACGCTGCATTTCTTCCCGAGTTCAAAGGAATCTTTCCCACAAAAATCACGATTCTTTTTCACCCGTCACTCACTGGCTTAGAAATTTTTTTGTTCTTGCCTTTTTTATCGTTCACGATAAAAAGGACAAGAACAAGGAAATTGCGTGTCTTGGTAAACAATTCGAAGAACTAAAGGACTATTAAGCGTTCAAATTTTCGCCGTACATCTGTCATAAATGGTGGCGGAGAGAACGCTTCCACTTGGTTATCGAAGAGCGTCATTAGGAACTCTTCAGAAACCGAATCTTCATGCGTGAAACTTTGTGTGCTGTTTCCAGTGATCACAACTGACACATTCATGTTAGGAAAGAATGCAAGAATTTTCCGCGAAGGATTCCTTTATATGAGGAGTGTCCTGCAAGCTACATCTACGATGTGTGTGTGTAGTTTGTCTAGCCCGTCCGACTTCTCCCTTGGAGGCATATTCTTACGAAATAAGCCTATTTCAGAGGCAGTGATCACGATTGCTTTAGAGCGGTGCGTCTTTGATGACGTCATCCAGCCATTGGTCTATGGGCATTAACCCTTAGACTACGACTTTTTTAAAACTAAGTCACCGATGTGTTTTATGAACATGTACCGACGTGTTTTATGTTTTATGTAGTAACTATCGCTCCTTACAACCATAGAAGTTTGGCTGGCGACGCTGCATTTGACCTGAGATTTTGATCCAGGGACTATGCGCGCGGTAGCGGCCCCTCTTGTCACCACACCATCACCGCTCGAATGAGTATTTTTGAAATAAAATTGGCAACTTAATTAACAATTACGAATACACAATTCCATATCTCATTCGTGGAACAAAGCCAATGTCCGGTAGCGACCACACTTGGGTAGAATTGCAAGCCGCACTCTGTAGAAGCGCTGCGGGTCTGACCGGGTGCTTCTGCTCTAACGAGTTTTCGTCGTCTTCTACTGCTTCAAAATCTGTGTCGTCATAGTAGTCTTCTAATTTCACTTCCGCACCATCGAACTGTCAGAATCTTGGAGGTTGGAATCTCCAACACTGTCGTGGAACGCGCGTAGTCCTCTGACCAAAGTCAACCCTGCGTTGCGCAGTTCT